ACGTCTCTTCTACATCAACATGTGTCCCCTCTTCTCCACGTCTCTTCTACATCAACATGTGTCCCCTCTTCTCCACGTCTCTTCTACATCAACATGGTCCCCTCTTCTCCACGTCTCTCTACATCAACATGTGTCCCCTCTTCTCACGTCTCTTCTACATCAACATGTGTCCCCTCTTCTTCACGTCTCTTCTACATCAACAGTGTCCCTCTTCTTCACGTTCTTCTACATCAACATGTGTCCCTCTTTCCACGTCTCTTCTACATCAACATGTGTCCCCTCTTCTCCACGTCTCTTCTACATCAACATGTGTCCCCCTCTTCTCACGTCTCTTCTACATCAACATGTGTCCCCTCTTCTCACGTCTCTTCTACATCAACATGTGTCCCTCTTCTTCACGTCTCTTCTACATCAACATGTGTCCCCTCTTCTTCACGTCTCTTCTACTAACATGTGTCCCTCTTCTTCACGTCTCTTCTACATCAACATGTGTCCCCTCTTCTTCACGTCTCTTCTACATCAACATGTGTCCCCTCTTCTTCACGTCTCTTCTACATCAACATGTGTCCCCTCTTCTCCACGTCTCTTCTACATCAACATGTGTCCCCTCTTCTCCACGTCTCTTCTACATCAACATGTGTCCCTCTTCTCCACGTCTCTTCTACATCAACATGTGTCTCCTCTTCTTCACGTCTCTTCTACATCAACATGTGTCCCCTCTTCTCCACGTCTCTTCTACATCAACATGTGTCCCCTCTTCTCCACGTCTCTTCTACATCAACATGTGTCCCCTCTTCTCCACGTCTCTTCTACATCAACATGTGTCCCCTCTTCTCCACGTCTCTTCTACATCAACATGTGTCCCCTCTTCTTCACGTCTCTTCTACATCAACATGTGTCCCCTCTTCTTCACGTCTCTTCTACATCAACATGTGTCCCCTCTTCTTCACGTCTCTTCTACATCAACATGTGCCCCTCTTCTTCACGTCTCTTCTACATCAACATGTGTCCCCTCTTCTCACGTCTCTTCTACATCAACATGTGTCCCCTCTTCTCCACGTCTCTTCTACATCAACATGTGTCCCTTCTTCTTCACGTCTCTTCTACATCAACATGTGTCCCCTCTTCTTCACGTCTCTTCTACATCAACATGTGTCCCCTCTTCTTCACGTCTCTTCTACATCAACATGTGTCCCCTCTTCTTCATGTCTCTTCTACATCAACATGTGTCCCCTCTTCTTCATGTCTCTTCTACATCAACATGTGTCCCTCTTCTTCATGTCTCTTCTACATCAACCATGTGTCCCTTCTTCTCATGTCTCTTCTACATCAACATGTGTCCCCTCTTCTTCATGTCTCTTCTACATCAACATGTGTCCCTTCTTCTTCATGTCTCTTCTACATCAACATGTGTCCCCTCTTCTTCATGTCTCTTCTACATCAACATGTGTCCCCTCTTCTCCATGTCTCTTCTACATCAACATGTGTCCCATTCTTCTTCATGTCTCTTCTACATCAACATGTGTCCCTTCTTTCTTCATGTCTCTTCTACATCAACATGTGTCCCCTCTTCTTCATGTCTCTTCTACATCAACATGTGTCCCCTCTTCTCCATGTCTCTTCTACATCAACATGTGTCCCCTCTTCTTCATGTCTCTTCTACATCAACACGTGTCCCCACTTCTTCATGTCTCTTCTACATCAACATGTGTCCCCCTCTTCTTCATGTCTCTTCTACATCAACATGTGTCCCCTCTTCTTCATGTCTCTTCTACATCAACAGTGTCCCCTCTTCTTCACGTCTCTTCTACATCAACATGTGTCCCCTCTTCTTCACCGTCTCTTCTACATAAACATGTGTCCCCTCTTCTTCACGTCTCTTCTACATCAACATGTGTCCCCTCTTCTTCACGTCTCTTCTACATCAACATGTGTCCCCTCTTTTTCACGTCTCTTCTACATCAACATGTGTCCCTTCTTCTTCACGTCTCTTCTACATCAACATGTGTCCCCTCTTCTTCATGTCTCTTCTACATCAACATGTGTCCCTTCTTCTCCATGTCTCTTCTACATCAACATGTGTCCCCTCTTCTTCATGTCTCTTCTACATCAACATGTGTCCCCTCTTCTCCATGTCTCTTCTACATCAACATGTGTCCCTTCTTCTTCATGTCTCTTCTACATCAACATGTGTCCCTTCTTCTTCATGTCTCTTCTACATCAACATGTGTCCCCTCTTCTTCATGTCTCTTCTACATCAACATGTGTCCCCTCTTCTCCATGTCTCTTCTACATCAACATGTGTCCCCTCTTCTTCATGTCTCTTCTACATCAACACGTGTCCCCACTTCTTCATGTCTCTTCTACATCAACATGTGTCCCCTCTTCTTCATGTCTCTTCTACATCAACATGTGTCCCCTCTTCTTCATGTCTCTTCTACATCAACATGTGTCCCCTCTTCTTCATGTCTATTCTACATCAACATGTGTTCCCTCTTCTTCATGTCTCTTCTACATCAACATGTGTCCCCTCTTCTTCATGTCTCTTCTACATCAACATGTGTCCCCTCTGTGGAAAGAGACTCTGAAAGTTTCAGGAACAAAGATTCTCTCTCTTTTTGATCCATTTCTCTAAAAACCTGTCTGAAAATGAGCTGATCAGATTTTGGCCACTTTATGATGTCATAACGATGTTTTGTCTTGTGTAACCAGCCAATCAGCAACCAAGGTAAGCCCCCCCCCCCTTATCACCTGAATCTCCTCCTAGAGCACCATTGAGTTCTTTGTAACCAAATCTCTCTCAGAGGGGCGTGGGGAGGGGCTCCTTATTTTCATCTAAAGTAACAGACAGAGAATCAGCACTTTGGAAACAGGGCTGAAACAGAGGGGATTATGGGTAATGCTACAATGATCTGTTTGGTGTTTGGAGCCAAACACTTCAGAGGCATGTTTTGTATATATCTGAGACCTCTAATATATTGATGAAAAACAGTATAATAGGGGACCTTTAAATACATTTTCAGGAGAGGAAGTGTAAAGTACCGCTATATTGAAACACTCAAGCAAAGTACTTCAATATTGTACTTGAGCTAACAACATGCTGCTCTTGGATGATGAACGACAGAACAATAACATTCAAATGTTGATTTAAAATAATCCATTCAGTTCATGTTTCCACTCACGATCATGTTCTCCAAAGCACACTTGGCCAGCCAGCAGTTGAGAAACACGGGGATGAAGATGTTTCTGATCGAGGGCCAGAAGATCTTAGGACAAAGACACATTTCAAATCAAAGTATAAGGTTTGTTCAGTATCATCTCAATATTTCTGCAATCACACGGTAAAAGCTGCACAGAAAAGGCTGTGTGCATTGTGGTTGATATGCTCAAGGTGATAGCTTCAATGCTCTTAACTTCAATTTGACACCCAAAATGACACAGATGCAGTCTTCAGTTTCTAACCATTTACATGTGCACAAGAAATGTGTCGAAGGCTGAATGGGTAAGAACGATGCATCTGACAGAAGTCTGGGACTGAGAGAAAAAATGTAAATTAATTACAAATCAATCAACAAGTTTTCTACTTCAGCACCACGGACAGCGACATGTAATTAATACGCGTACAGTTGGGCTCCTCATATGACAGAGCCTTTCATCCTCTTTTCGTCCCACAACGGGGACATTTACAAAGTTACAACAGCAAAAGCCAGTGCAGAATAAAGACAAAAAGAAAAAGAAAATGCAGGCGGTGGCATGTTCACCATGAGCATGAGCCATGCACTTTGGTCCTTTGGCTAAAAGGTGGGATAGCATGAATTGCTATTCTTCACTTTTCAGTGTCCATTGATGTAAGTCTGAGTCTCAATAATGCTTATGTCTTCAATTCTTAAAGGCTTAGATTAAAGAAATAATGAAAAATTACAAAAAGACCATAGTTTACAGCGTTATTATAGATAATGATTATTTGAGAGTGGTAGAAGCATTACCGTGATGATGAAGGGAACTGTGTTAATCATCTCCAGAAGAAATGACACCTGGAAAATCTGCTCCCAAATGTTCCCCTATAATGAAATCAAATAGAAGCATGAGCAGACGTTTGAACCTGTAGGCACACAATAGACTGAGAGTGAGTCACTGCAGAGATGCAGGTCCTAAGTGTAGTCTGTCACTTTGGGCGAACACTTCATTCTTCACCTCCACCAGATCCTGTCATTACGCCTGTCCTTAATGTCGCCGTGACAAAAGTCCTGGGATAATTACGCCACTTATCATCTGTCAATCACTGGAAGTGACTAATTGCATTGACGGGCTGTATTACTGACACGCATGATGTCTGTTTATTGTGTGTGTGTGTGGTGTGTGTGGTGTGTGTGTGTGTGTGTGTGTGTGTTGTGTGTGTGTGTGTGTGTGTGTGTTGTGTGTGTGTGTGTGGTGTGTGTGTTGTGTGTGTGTGTGTGTGTGTGTGTGTGTGTGTGTGGTGTGTGTGTGTGCGCGTTACCTTGTAGCTGAGATACATCAGTAACATAGTCTCCAGAAAACTAATGATGGCAACAATCACCTGTACAAGCAAAAAACAGGAAACAAGCTGATAAATTGTTAACACAATAATCATTTTCAAATGAATTATCTGAGAATGAAACCCACAGTGTTGTCGAGCACTTTTTTTCAAAACACAACGTTTTTCTTGTTTAAATAAGACAGGCTCATTTTCAGGTTCATATTAGTATTTATGTGTGGGAGAGAAACTCCCATTGGAGGGAACACAGGGATGTTAGCCTCTGTAACCCATTGACATGCACAAAACCTACATAGCACTCTACAGTAAAGGGAACTTTGTAACTTGTGTAAAGCCTGTTCCCCTGGATGTATTCTGACTCACTTGGATGGCCCAGACAGGAACTTTTCTATCCACCCAGAAGATCAACCCCCTGTCAAACAGAGCAACTCTTTCATTCACAACAAATGACCTATAAATCAGTCACAAAATGCATTATCATTGTTAAATATTTGAGGTAAATAAAGTCAAAATAATACTGTTATTATTTCATTAGATGGGTATCATTAGAGATAATACATGTGACAATATGTCAAATGAACATGTGCAACATTCATCTCAGGCCAGGTAAGGTCATGAGCTGAGTGCAGGAAAAGAGCTGGAAGCGCACTCACAGAATGTGTTGCTTTCGCCAGAGGCTACATAATACTTTATTTTCATTTGACCCTGAATGAACAGTCATTCCACCTCCTGCTGCTCACCAGTTAATCTCTCTGTCCTGCACTGATCCGTTCCACTGGCAGTCAACACTGCAGGAGAGTGAGAAACAGAAAGTGAATAAATGAATGTAGTCAAGTTATTTTTGCTTAAGCACTTTAAGAAGAGTCTTTCCTTAGGTTTTGAATATCAATAAGTCTGTTAAACATTTATAGTGAATGTAAGCTGACTGTGATGTTTAACATGAATGAATAAAAGTGAAAGGTTTACTAAAACAAGTAATTTTTTTGCTTGCTTGGTGGTTGTGTCATTTATAAGAGCATTTACTCTTTCTTTGAATGATATATTTGCAACGTTGCTGGCATTGTTTCAACGTGTATCTGTCTTTTAGTCTACCATTGGTGCTGTACTGTACGTTAGTGCTTCTGTTCAAAATGGACAAACCATTTGACGTTGCCACTGTTAGCGTTCTGCTGTCCTGCGCTGTGACCCGGGTTATCGGTCACCACCCGGATGATGTACAGCAGACAGGTGAGCAGCTTCAGGGAGAAGTTGAACACACGGATACGGAGGCCTAAGGACCAGACAGGGACACGTTTTACAATGAAATACTGCTTCTGTATCACCCAACACACTCCTCCAGCAACAGTGCCCTGCCCCTCAATTCCACCAGACCCTTTGCAAAAACCTTGGAATCCGTCAGTCCTGAACAATATTCAATACAATATACGTTTGATAGAAAGGCTACCAAAGATGTTCAATACAACTTCTTACAGCTCTGAATTACAGTATATCCATGAGTAGAACCTTCCTATTGCTCACAATTCAATAATTGCAATAAAGGATTTCTGATTTCTAGTTATCCAATCACATCAGACACTATCTCAAAAATAAATGTAGTATAAAAAATGTAGCAAATGTGTCATATCTAGCTTCTCCTAATCCCTGCACTAACATCCAGAGAAATTCCATTATTACGAACTTCTATGTTTTAGTATCAACCATGTTACTGTTGAATGCTAGCAACAAGTAAAAGAGACTCATAACACTTACAACAAACTGACGTAAACAACAAATACCATGTTGTGCATGTAGCATCTTTTCACTGTCTCCTTGTTTGTATGGAAGTCCTCACTTCAGTACTTATCATCTCGTCCTAAACCTTTTGGAGGCAGGGCTTTCTAATAATAATAATAATAATACATGGGACTTTTATAGCGCTTTTCATGAAACTCAAAGACGCTTTGACAGAGAGTTAAGAAAAATAAAGACAAGAGAAAACAAAACAAAATAAAAAAAATAGATAACAAAGAAATACAAAAAGAGATAAACAAAACAGAAAATAGGGGGGAGGGGGGTGGTCAGGGGGGGAGGGGGGTGGTCAGTGGTTGAATGCAGTGTTGAACAGGTGGGTTTTGAGTGATGTTTTGAATGCTGTGAGGGAGGAAGAATCTCTGATGGATTGGGGTAGTGAGTTCCAGAGGGTGGGTGCAGCAACGGAGAAGGCTCTGTCGCCCCAGGACTTGAGGTCGGTCCGGGTGGGGAGGGACAGGAGGTTGGCAGTAGCAGAGTGGAGGGAGCGAGTGGGAGTGTGTCTGTGGAGGAGGTCAGTCAGGTAGGATGGGGCCAGGTTATGGAGGGCTTTGTATGTCATCAGGAGGATCTTGTACTGAATTCTCTGGGGGATGGGAAGCCAGTGGAGCTTGATGAGGACGGGTGTAATGTATTCACGGATTCGGGTGTGGGTGAGTAGACAGGCGGCGGAGTTCTGGATATATTGAAGTTTTTTGAGGATTTTTGCAGGTGAACCGTAGAGGAGGCTGTTGCAATAATCTAATTTCTAAGAAGCTTTTGGTAAGAAGCTGCACCAAAACTCTGGAATACACTCCCTGAAAATATCAGCGCAGTATAACATTACATTACATTACATGTCACTTGTTAGACGCTTTTATCCAAAGTGACTTACATACTCAATACTGTGGACAATCCCCACAGGAGCACTTTGGGGTGAAGTGTCACAACGACATGCTGACTGCAGTGGGCTTTGAACCCCTGATCCCAACACCAACGCACAACCCACTATAATCCCTTGACTCCTCTTGAAAAGAGTCTTAAGAGCCACTTTTACTCCCCTGCAATGACTCTTGAGATGATTTGCATTCCACATTGATATGCATGAATGTCTGCACGCCTCTGCATGTGTTTGTGTGTCTGCACTTCTAATCTTTACTTACAACAAGGTTTGTTGTAAAGCCCTTCGGCACAAACCGGATGACTTTTGAATGCACTCTATCAATACATCTTACCTTGAACTTATCAGCACTGCAGCAACAATGCTATTTCTTTTTACTCATAAGCAACATCAGTGTGTACTTCTCTTTGTGCTTGCTAAGCATTACACGTGTTTCTCTATATGCATGAGGGTTTCATTAGGAGGGAATGTGTCTGTATTTGTTATTTTGGTGACCTTTAATGCACCCTTTCCATTATGAAACAGCCAATTCATGGGTGTGAGAAGATGTCAACATACTTGATCTTTGGTTTTTGATGAAGAAAAGCTTCAGCCGCTCCTTGAAGGTGTTTTCGTTCACATAGAACTCCACCTGCACCCTGACGCACAGGAAAAAGGAAAAAATATATCTGCAGCAAAGAGACACACGGATATTCTTCCAGGCAGTTTTTAAAGTATGACATTTCACACATCATGAATATTCATAATGTCGTTTTTCTAATCACCCGAGGAGAGTTTGGTGATTATCTGTCTCTGATTATCTGTCCCTGATTATCTGTCTCTGATTATCTGTCTCTGATTATCTGTCCCTGATGATCTGTCTCTGATTATCTGTCCCTGATTATCTGTCTCTGATTATCTGTCTCTGATTATCTGTCTCTGATTATCTGTCTCTGATGATCTGTCCCTGATGATCTGTCTCTGATTATCTGTCCCTGATTATCTGTCTCTGATTATCTGTCTCTGATTATCTGTCTCTGATTATCTGTACCTGATTATCTGTCTCTGATTATCTGTCTCTGATTATCTGTCTCTGATGATCTGTCCCTGATGATCTGTCTCTGATTATCTGTCCCTGATTATCTGTCTCTGATTATCTGTCTCTGATTATCTGTCTCTGATTATCTGTACCTGATTATCTGTCTCTGATTATTTGTCCCTGATTATCTGTCCCTGATTATCTGTCTCTGATTATCTGTCCCTGATTATCTGTCCCTGATTATCTGTCTCTGATTATCTGTCTCTGATTATCTGTCTCTGATTATCTGTCCCTGATTATCTGTCTCTGATTATTTGTCCCTGATTATCTGTCCCTGATTATCTGTCTCTGATTATCTGTCCCTGATTATCTGTCCCTGATTATCTGTCTCTGATTATCTGTCCCTGATTACAAGACGGTGACTGTAGGACACGCAGCAGACCCAAAGGAGACAAAGTGCAGCTGATGAGGAGCATTTCACCAGATGTTTTTCATCAATATATCACAGGTGTCAGATATATCCAGAGCCTGTCTCTGATTGGCTGAAACACCAAACAGATCATTGCAGCATCCCATAATCCCCTCTGTTTCAGCCCTGTTTCCAAGGTGCTGATTCTCTGTCTGTTACTTTAGATGAAAATAAGGAGCACCTCCCCACGCCCCTCTGAGAGACATTTGGTTAGAAAGAACTCAATGGTGCTCTAGGAGGAGATTCAGGTGATAAGGGGGGGGGGGGGGGGGGGGCTTACCTTGGTTGGTGATTGGCTAATGGTTACACAAGACAAAACATCGTTATCGTTATTAAAGTGGCCAAAATCTGATCAGCTCATTTTCAGACAGGTTTTTATAGAAATGGATCAGGAAAAAAGTGGATTTTGCATAATAGGTCCCCTTTAAATATTGTATGATTTTAGTAGGCAAAGCTGCAATCAAATGATAGATAAGAATTATAAAGTAAAATAATATTGTGAAAGCACGTGCATGTGTGTAGTGCTGATAGCATAATAATGAATTGTGTTCTTTTTGTTTTCCTGGTTTGACTGCATATGTCTATAAGCATTTGCATTTCAGTTTTTCATTTTAGCTGTTCTAATTTCCATTTCTGGAATATAAATTGGACTCCATCACTATTCAAAACTGCAACTTAATTTTAATACAATTAATTTTAACATTTAATTATGGTCTGATCATACTAAGTGATCAAATATCATTTTTTGTGTATTCACCATCTTTCCTTTTATTTTATTATTGGTACCATACAAACTTAATTATTAATTCCTTACTTATGCAAGTGCAATTAAATAGAGACAAATGTGAATTATTACAAAATTAAAATCTTACTCAGCATTACAGAATAATCTGTAAACAACAATAATAAACAAAATGTGGTTTGCAGTCAAGTTAGAGTGCATGTTGTTGTGGATTTGCTAGCATAGCAAGTCACTTTATGAAGGGAAGCCATCAGGAGTAACTTGTAAGTTAAGAAATGGTTTGTGTTGTGTGTATGTTTAATTTTGAAAAATATATCATTGTAATTTGCAAAACATTACAACTCATACAGTAGGTAGCCTAGCAACACACTTCATATCTCTGCAGTGTTATAGACTGCAAGCAGGTTAAATAAAACAGAAACAGCAGTTTATCATTATGAATAACTGACCTGACCAGACTACTGCAACAGCATCCTCTCTGTTACACAATCCAGACTCCTCAATAAACTCCAGTACATTCAGAACTCTGCCGCCCGACTCCTGACCCTCACCCTCTTCGTGACCACATCCCCCGTCCTGCAGACCTCCACTGGCTCCCCATCCCACAATGCATTCATTTCAAGATCCTTCTCCTTACCTACAAAGCCCGCCATAACCAGGCCCGCCCTACCTTACAGACCTGCTCCATCACCGGGCCCCCACCTAGGTCACAGACCTGCTCCATCACCAGCCCCCCCCCTCCCACCTCACCGACCTGCTCCATCACCAGGCCCCCTCCTCCTACCTCAAGACCTGCTCCATTCACCAGGCCCCCCCCTACCTCACCGACCTGCTCCCATCACCAGGCCCCCCCCCTCCTCACTGACCTGCCTCCATCACCAGGCCCCCTCCTACCTCACAGACCTGCTCCATCACCAGGCCCCCCCCCCCCTACCTCACTGACCTGCTCCATCACCAGGCCCCCCTCCTACCTCACCGACCTGCTCCATCACCAGGCCCCCTCCTACCTCACATACCTGCTCCATCACCAGGCCCCCTCCTACCTCATATACCTGCTCCATCACCAGCCCCCCCCCATACCTCACTGAGCTGCTCCATCACCAGGCCCCCCCCCTCCTCACAGACCTGCTCCATCACCAGGCCCCCTCCTACCTCACAGACCTGCTCCATCACCAGGCCCCCTCCTACCTCACGGACCTGCTCCCATCACCAGGCCCCCTCCTACCTCACAGACCTGCTCCATCACCAGCCCCCCCCACCCCACCTCATCATGCACTACTGGGCGCTGTCTCCTGACCCCCTGCAAAAACCGCGTCATAAGCGGCTGACTAAAGGCTGACCAGCCGCCAAGTCCCTCATGGCAGGACGAAATGGCCACTTAGGCCTGTAACAGGCTGTGGTGGATCCTGCTCTTGCTGCCTGGATAGTCTGAATAACCTCGTCAGACAGTCCCCCCTGTCTCAGACTGTCCCTCTCAGGAGCCAAGCCTGGAGACGCCCCTATTGCACCTGCTTCCTGAGACATCGCCCCGCAGACCTGAGGAATCGCCCAGGGCTGTTCCACCATCATCTGTGTCACCTCTGTGAACCACGGCGCCCCGCGGCGATCTGGGGCCACTAGGATGACTGACAGACGTTCTCGTCTCACCCTCTCCAGCAGGGGGAGAATAAGACGCAGCGGTGGAAAGGCGTAGAGCAGCTTTCTTGGCCATGGCTCGTGTGCAAACGCGTCCACCCCCAAGGGCGGATTGTCTCGCCGAGCTATGGAAAACCACAGGGTACAGTGGCTGTTGCGCCGGTTGGCGAACAGGTCCACCTCCGCTCTCCCGAACTGGGCCCATGATCTGCTTCACCACCTCCGGGTGAAGCCCCCACTCGCCTGGCAGGGGCCAGCCTCTTGACATGAGGTCGGCCCCCCTGTTTTCCAGTCCTGGAATGTGGAGGGCTCTCAGAGACAACACAATCCCCGAAGCCCATAACCACAGGTTCTCTGCTGTGCTAAACAAGGCGGCAGAGCGGACTCCCTGCCTGTTGATGTACGCCATGTACTGTGGTGCTGTTGTCGCTCCTCACCAGCACATGTTTGCCCTGTAGTAAGGGTTTGAAGTGCTGGAGGACCAACACTACTGCCCGCAGCTCTAGAAGGTTGCTGTGCCGAGCTCTCTCTAGGCAGGTCCCCCCCCATCCTGTCACGGTTGTGTCTGTGAACACCGTGATGTAGAAGGTCACTCACCCCAGCGGAGTTCCCCTCTAGTTTACTCATTGGCCCGCCCTGAGAAAGCTTCGGTGTAATTTGTATTTATTTTTTTATTTTTTATTATTATTATACATTTGTTTATTCACCCATTGAGAATATCCAAGCATTCAAACTGAAATTCAAGTGAACAAATATCGAGTTGAATTAATGTTGTATGTGTTTTATCCTCTGAACAGAACTAATTTCCGGTAAAAACTGGTTGAGGTGGTATGAAGATTTTCCCTGGGTGGAATACAGTGCAAGTAGGCACGCGCTTTTCTGTAAAATGTGCAGACATTTCTCCAGCCCAGGAGCTGAAGGTGCATTTACGAAGGATGGATATGTAGACTGGAAGCACCTGCGTAACTCGTTGGAGAGACATAAAAAAAGCGAGGACCACTGCAAGTCCATGAGCAGGTTTGAATGCTACAACCTATTGTTGCTGTTACCTATTGCAATAAAATAGTTACAAAACGATTGTAAATAATCCAATTTGGGTTCTGTGAAACTGAAAAGGATATTACATTGTTTTTGTTACTTTTGTTGCAGTTGTAAATGTCATTTAGGTTAACTTCCAGTGTTATTTAGATGCTTTTATTTTGAAGGCGAGTTTGTTGTTGTTCCTATGGAAGCAACGTGACGGAGAAAAGGAGCGGAGATTAATCTACATATAAAGACGGATAAAGTAAAGGATAAAGTTTATGTTTAAGTTTAGCACCCCCCGAAGAGGCACAAGGTTGGTATTTACTATAATATAAAAATGTGGGTTTTGTCCTAATTCGTTTATATGCTGTTGTATAGCTTTGCTGTCTGTTTACAGTTAACTTTTGGTAGTATGCTAAAGTGATTCTAATACGGATGGAGCCTAAATGTATTTGTCATTTTTGTGTCTTTATAGCTCTTACGTTGATATTGGAGATTTCAATAAATTCATATCATCAGTCAAGTCTTCGACCATTATTCGGAGGGAAATGCTACAACGATTCTTGGCAACATGGGCGCCGGAAGCAGGGGGGCCAAGGGGCCATTGGCCCCTCTGCTTTACAGCCGATAAAATGGCCGATTTTCTACTGCGGTCCTTGAACGCACCGCAGCGCACGCTCTGCCATAATGCAATCTTCACCCAGACGGTAAAATGCATTAATCTGAATGCTAGGCGCGGTGTGTCTCCTGA